GTGTTTTCCAATGATCTTAGGCGACCCCTGTGAAAGGGTCATTCGACCCCCAAAGGGGTCGTGACCTGACCCACAGGTTGAGAACCACTGCTCTAGAGGATTCTCCAGGGAAGTCCAGTTTCTTGTCTGACAAGGAGAAGTGACAGCAGTCTAGTGGACGGCACATTCACTAGGAGTTTAGAAATTAGGAAAACCGACATACAGACCCATAGGAAGGCCCCCTCCTCCCCCGTTTGTTCTGTTGCTCAGTATCTCCCCCGAATGTTCAAAACACAACTGTCTCTCTCCGTCAAACTTGCTCCTCCTCCTGGCTCAGTGTGATCCACCAGCATTCTCAGGGCTCTCTGGTTCCTTCTTCTTCTTTTTTGAATCCTCACCCAAGGATGTGTTTTCACTGATTTTTAGAGAGAGCAAGGGAGAGAGAAACATCGATTGGTTGCCTCCTGTTCCCACCTCAACCGGGGATTGAACCTGCAACCTAGGTATGTGCTCTGACCTGACGGGGAATGAAACCGGCAACCTTGTTGGTGTACGGGACGACGCTCCAACCACTGAGCCACCAGCCACACTCCACCTCTTTTACTCCGTCTTTGCCGACTACCCTGGATCCTACTCAGGTAGCACCTCCTGCCTGCCTGTGACTCTCCACGGTTGCTCCACCTGGACTATTGCAACGTTTGTTCGGCAAACACTCGCTGGGAGCCTCCCGAGGGCCAGGCCCTGCGCTTGGCTCTGGGCATGCAAAGGACAGCACAATAGTGTCGGTCTTTATGGGGCTTTTATGTTCTAGTGGAGGAAACAGAGCAAACACAAGAAAACAGACAACAGTTATGAGTTATGCAGTTACTTTAAAGGAAACAAAATGGGGCTAAGGCCAAGAATAACAGGAGGTAGATGACTCACTGGTCTTATCTCTTCTACCTACCCCCCCCTGACATGGTCCCCACCTGTTCCTTCCCAGTGCCTCTCACAGGGCTTTCTCTAATTAGAATACCTTCCCTCTCTCCTGGCAACTCAAATGCCACATCCTCATGAAACCTTTTGGGATGGATCCTTCCTACTCAGTAATTCTCTTCTTCTGGCATTGATCTCGCTCTACGCAGTTATCTGCATATATGTCTAATACCCCCAAGAAGACTGGAAGCTCGTGGAGGAATATCATTTTTCAACACCTTTGTCTCTTCCCCACAATGCCCTAACCCAGGAGAGATTTAAAAAGTGAATTAACCCCCCCTCCTCGAGTGGGACTAATGCCACTACTGGCCCTAACCATTTCATAGGGTTATTACGAAGATCAAATAACACTGAAGATGTGAAAGTGCTTTGAAAAAAGGAAAAAGGTCTATACGAATAGAAATGGCTTTGTAATCATAATTACAGCGAGCACCACTCTGGGAACCTGCCCACACAGGAGCTGGCGTTGCCAACCCTCGGCCCAGGGAAGGACAAAGGCCGCTCATCATTTAAACAGCAACTTTGCAGGCTGTGGCCCCGACTTTGTGTTGTTTATTTGTGATCACAAGATAAAACAAGTAACGCAGAAGCCAGGACTTTTCTGCAGAACTGAGTGGCCAGGAGCCAGAACACCTCGGTGTGAGTTCTAACTCTGCTACTTTCTTGCTTCCTCCAGCAAATTACTGAATCTCGCTGTTTTCATTTCCTCATGGGGTTGTTTACAAGGATTTAATGATTAAATACAATTCACGTAAGACAGCACTGAAACAATGCCCGGTACAACGTAAGCAAACAATCAAGTTATAGTGTCCACTCCACTTCCTGGTACAGGGCGTGGAAGGAGGTTCCTGGGAGCTAAGCTTTTTTGCTTTGTTGATTTGAGAGAAAGGGGGCGGGGGGGGGGTGTTGATCTGTTGTCCCACTTATTTATGCATTCATGGGTTGCTCCTTATATGTGCCCTGAGGATTGAAGCCTCAACCTTAGTGAATCAGGACAACGCCCTTACCAACTGAGTTACCCAGCCGGGGCCTGGGGAGCGGATCTTGATTGCTGGTGTTGTGTGGTTGTGCACAAAGAAAATACCATACAGCGGACATGGGGATGGATAGGGGCTGGCGCAATGGGCAGGATGAGGCAGAGGTGTCTGAAGAGCCTCGAGTATGGCCGAACAATGTGAGGTTAGGTAGAGAGAGTTTGGCTGTTTTAAGAGGCTTAGTTAGGACCTCATTCAAGTGAGAGTGACTAGGAGGCCGAGCTGCACTAAAAAATGAAACAGAAAGGCCTCCTTTCATTATTTTTGACTTTCATCTCTGTAACTAATGAAAACAGGTGAGCGCATGTTCTTGGTGACACGAGGAGGGAACCCAAGGTACTCTGTTTCCAACACAACCTGGTGAGAAGCCGAGCAACAGTGACCGGACCAGTCGTTCCTCACCTCCAGGGAAAGACAGAACCATCCCTTCTCCAAACTGCCTCCCTCCACAAAGGCATTTCCCCACAGGAAACCACCTGGGACACAATTAAGCAATACAGTGGGCTGAGTCAGTCGAAAGTGGCCTGAAGGAAAACGCTGCTCACGCTGTTGCCCAGAGGGGGCTGATGGCAACACAGGGAAATGCCGTATTTGGCATTAGTTGGGGGGAGTGAAAAGCGGCCTAGCTTTGGGTGGGAGGCCATCAAAGCACATTGCAGATGCTCCTCCCGGGAAACCCTCAAAAGAAGGCTATGACTGTCAGCTTAGGTAGGTGGCTGAGGGGTCCCTCTTAGATGCCCAGAAGAGACTAGAGCCTTGCCGTGGAGATGTCAGGAATGCGGTCTCCAATGCAAATAAAGACCGCATTGTAGGAATAGTGCTGGCCTGTGTCCAAGCCCTCCCTCGTGTCCTTTGAGTCACTGGGAAATGGTTAACAAACGGGTTGAACACCTGGGCTGATTACCCCCGAAGGGGATTTCCACACTGTGCATTGTAAAACCTTCCCTTCCCTTTCCGAGGCAGATCAGTCCCACCCTCTCTGAAGCGCGCCCTGAAGATTCCAAGTTTTCTAACTTCGGTTCTAGGCTTTCCAAGTGAGAGCGGTACCGACTGCTGACACAAAGCAACAAGGAGCCAAGCAACCTTGTGCTTTTCAAGTTTGTTTTGAATGAAGAGGAGCAGATGTCCAATGTTTCAAAAAGCCACACATTTGTGGATTTGGCTGACAAACCCTCTACACTGCATTCGTTTCTGTTCCCACATAGTCAGCCAGCCACTCACAACTGACTCACTCTCTCTGGGCCACAGTTTGGGCCGGTCTCCCAACTACAGAATTAGAACCTCAGATCTCAAATGAATCCAGGGTGTTCGGGTGGAGCGCGGGGGCCACCTAAAACAGTTTTGTGTGTGTTTAATTTAGGAGTATCAACACCCACACAGCAAACTGCAAGGCCAGTCGGTCAAAGAGAATGAGCAAACAGTTGGCACCTGCCTATCCCAGCACCAAGCAATTCTAAAGGCCATGAGTAAGCATCTGCCCAGAACGGGTTTTTGTTACCATCCCTCTTGCGAGTACAGGGCAAATATGCAAATACATGTAGCTTATTTGCTGCAATCCAAGGCCTCACCCCCAAGGCAAACTCATTACCTCAGGTGAACTCTTGGCCTCGTTGGGAAGGGAGGGACAGGAACCCAAGCCCCTGACGACCAGACACTAATGACTCAGCTGCTTCTAGAATTTTCAAGTACATTATGTGCTTTCTTGTTGCCTTCGACAATAAAGGAACAAAACACTAAAGGAACAAAACACTTCGGATGCCAGTTTGCTGCAGCGTTTCATTTACCATGTTTCGTGAAAGGCGGAACAGCTCTGATCAATGGGAGTTAGAGATGGAAAGTTACTTGGCTTTAAAAAATGGCTATTCAACTCCTGATTAATGTGCTCCTTTTGTGAGCACATTAATAACTAATTATTCATGAACAAAATGAACAACTTTTTGTGTTTTTCTAGCAGAAATGTGACTTTGAGGCCTATTGAGGAAGATCACGCCTGCCACCAAACCAAATTTTAAAAAACCCTGTTTAAAACCTATTTACACCCATCAACTCTCACTAATATAGGTGGGGTTTCTAACAAGGAACTAAAAGCTGGTAATCCACCCCCCCCCTAACTTCCAGATTTATTAGGATTAACTATCTTTATAATTAAAAAACTAAGCTGTCAATATTTATTTATAAGGTGGGAGGGTTAGGAAAGTTATTTTCAATGATTTCAGTTTATATTTGGTGCTTTGTACCTCATCTAGGCTAGCTGGGGGCCTATTTTCAGATTTGAAAAGGTTTTTGTCTTGTTAAGCAAGTCATCAGTTCATTAATTTGTGTTTTTCTCTTTAATTTGTACCTTGGATTTAACTTCTTTAGAAAGAGTAGATCTACTCCAAAACAAGGGTGCATATACTGAAAACATTTAAAAAAGTTTTTGGAGTAAGCGGAATGTTGTAAAATTCTTGCATGTGTATCAAATACTATCTTTGCTAAATTAAAAATTGGGGACATACATTTATGGCAGTATTTTCCATTTTATGCAGTTTAATCCTTCAGACAACCCAACTACCTATATAGTTTTTAATAGATGAAATCTAGGCCGAGTTAAAAACTTTCTGAAAGTAGATGAGTCTCACGCTGTCCCACTGAAGCCACAGGGGCAGCACGTGGGCTGAGCTTGTTTGTACAGGAGCACTTGCTCCTACAGACACTGAATTAACCAGTGCGTTTCCGAACCTTCCCCAGCCCCTGCTGTTCCTGGATTTCTAGATAATGGGAAGAGTGGCCATTATACAAATGAAAGTAAAACCCTCCCCTGCTTTCAAGCCCCACTCTCCAGATGATGTACTCAGAGAGAACACGGAAAACACGGTGTGAGGTGCTCCTCAGTGTGAACTGCTGATGCGTGGCATTGGGTTGTATTGGGTTGTAGACTATTCTCAACAGTCACTGAGTTGAGAAGTGATTAACGTTGTAGATATTTCAGGCACAAAATGAGGCTTAAACAAAACAGAGAAGGAATCAGAATTCCCAGGCCCTTTTTCTTTATTTGCAGCAATATCAAACCATCCATTTACAACGTTTCTGGTTTCTCACCAGCTGGAATTAACTAGGTATGTCTCTGGGATCATGTAGTTGTTTGCATCCACTTTTGATCTAAGAAAGGAACAAATCCACACGGAACACAAGGCCAGCAGGACCCTCAGGGCTGCCACACCTGAGCACACAGTGAGGAAAGGAGAGTTGTTCTTCATTCGAGAGAGAGTGAACAAATGGTCACCCTTAAGTCAGACCTTCAGCCTAAGACACATTTTTCTAATCCCCTACCCTGAAATAAATTGACCAATAAAGCCCAAAGATTTAGTACAAGTGGCACCATTCATATTTGCTTTCCTCTTTTCTCTCTTTAGACAAACACCAAGTAAAATGCAGGTGAAACAGATGAAACACAACCAGAAGCTAACTTAGAAACTTACACTAACCCTAAAGAATCTAAAAATTATGATTTTAATGTGAATCTGTTTAAAATAAAGCCATTGGGGCACTGCTCTTTAAGTAAGGCAACAGTCACACTGCTAGAAGTCCCTGGATGGAAAAAAATGATCAACAACCTTTTCAAAACCCACAAGGCAGGTTGCTTATGCTTTATTTACTTAGCTGTGGTCATGGAGACTATCCCAATTTTCCCATAAAATCCTTCTGACTATGCAATATCATGGCATAGAAGACTCAAAGTGCCACTGGACATAAGGACAGAGGTTTTTGTTTTTTATCATTAACCATGATTTTGGGTGATGTTTGAATGGGAACATTTGATATGGATGGTCAGATGAAAGATACCAAAATGTCAGACAGCCCATCGACTGCTGTTGCCATGAGATTCAACAGTCAACATCAGTCTGATAAGCTACCCGACAAGGTGGTACGGCCATGGAGATGTCACGACGGGAGGCAAAACAAGCAGACATTCAGGCAGGATTTGATCAAACAAACCAGGCATTTCTGGCCTGTTGAGATTTAAACCCAATTCTACTCTCAACATAATGTCAGTAGCAATTTTCCTAAAGGAAGAAAGTGAAATTGTTTATTTCCCTCTCAAGCAAAACAAAATGACCAAGTTTAACTTGAAACATCCCGAAGGAAACATCACATAAGAACAAAACTGAAAAGGACAAGAAAATTAAGTTACATATAAAAGTAAATTTCTGTTAAAACAGAGCACATGCTGAGCTAAAATTAACACATGAGAAAAGTGTAGTTTTTTTAAATGAGTAATTTCTCTCTCCCGTGTTCTTTGACTTGCATGCTACCATCTCTACTGCTTTCACAATTCAAGAAATCCCCTCATGACACCCGTCCTTACGGCACCATCTCACCGGGGTGCAGCTAGCTGCCCAATTCCAGCAACAAAAATGGATGTTGTCTCTTTTCATGCAAATAAACGAAGGCTTAAGACATTACGGTTGTAGGTGGATTTGGCAAGGCTGTCAGTCAGTTGGTAGAAGCTACTAGGAAGTAAAAAACCAAAACGCTCAAGAAAACGAACACAATTGTGGAATGATCAAAGAGGTCTTTATAAAGATTTTTCATGACTTCATTCTAAATATACAGAATAAAAAATGGTGTCAGCTCATTCCGGAGACACCAACCAGATTTTCCTTATACTGTCTCAAAATTTTAAAGATCAATTTCCCAAGAGGGTATGCAACGCATCATAAAATGGCCTTTTTTTTGGTAGGTGGGGGAGGAAGGGCTGGGCAGGATGGCAGGTTAAATTGTACCATGATAGACATGCACGACTGTTATCCCGTCTAATATTTATATACATTTTGATGATTTAGAAAAACAAAGCAGTCATTTGTGACAAGCTTAAAAAGCTTGACATAGTTAACATACTTAAGAACTTTTTTTGTGGTGTCTGGAATTCTTTAATTGTACTATGTGGGCCTTTTGAAAGTAACAAATAGAAGGCCATTTTCTGTTAAGTTTGCTGCTGACCATCCCATTCCACCCTCATAAAATACAGCTTGAATTGAATTGAGGGTGGACACCTTACCTTAACACACAAAGGAAAAGTATGTCAGTGCAAATTATGGACTAAATTGTTTTCAGGAAAAAAAAGTTAAATCGAAACAGGATGGAAAAGGGAAGTTTTTTTCCTGGTTTGGAGTCCTCCCAATTAAGGCAGAACCCATCCATTCTAGTTCCTGCTGTTAAAAACTTTTCCTGCTTATTTAGTTTTCTCCTCTGATTTTATCCGCTGCTGGATTCTTTTGGCATAACTTTGTGCCATGGAGTTAATGATGGACAGGATGAAGTAACACACCATTGCAATCACCAACTTCTCGAACATCCAGGACAACCAGTTTTCTCCCTGCAGGAAGAAATGCAGAATAAGCCACAAGAAACACTTTATCATTTCAGTAGTAAGACGGGGGTCATCTACAATGTTTTAGAAAAAAACTAATGAGATCATGGGAGCCTATAGCCTATAAAAAGTCTAAAGATGAAAAGTCTCATGTTTCTCTACCCTGAAATAGACATTTGGGCCCTTTTACACCCAGTTATTAAGATTTCACTTTGTTGGCTATAAAGTCCATGTTGATGCATATGGTTCAGAATGGGGCGACTCTGAGGCCATCCCTTATCTCTTACTACATAAGAATAAAGTCTGCAGACACTTGTACAGGGCAGTGTCAAGGGAGTTATATATTCTTGTTCCAGGACTGGGAGCAGCTTTTAAAACATAAATGTTATCTGTTTCTGAAATCATGTTTGGTCAGTTGAGGGGAGCACAGGGCCACATAAAGAGTGCAAGGCCATCCAAAACCAACCAACCAAACAAACAAAACAACCCAACTGTGCTTCCTTCAAGTTTCCCATCTCAGGCTACTGCTTACTCATCTTCTTCTAGTCATTTCCCTTTGTCACAGAAAAGGCTTAACTTAAGTTAAAGTTTTTATGTTCGGCTATAGTAAGAGCCTTGATTTATTAAAAAATGATTATTTTCCCACCTCTGAAAAGAAAAATAGTGCAAAAATGAAGGGAGATGTTCCAGTGACCTCAGTTTTGTTAAGCTATAAATGTCAACTTTTAAATCCATTCAGAAAGTATACTTCCTAATAAATAATTTAAGATCAAGGCAATAACTCATTCTACATAACAGATCTATTATTTCCCACTAGCCCTAGCCTTGACTTTGGGAGATGCACAAAACAGAAGTTACATGTTCTGATTTAGACAAATTTCCCAGTAGAGACCACGGAGCCTCAACGTCTGTGAGGGAGACTTGCAAACAAACCTCACTCTATCTGTGCCTATGCAGTGAGCCCCGTGCGCACGGCGGGGAAGAGGGGGAGTCTCACCTGAGGTGCGCCCATTTCACTCCTGTGGTGAAGCTTCTGCGCTGGGCCTCCAGGTACTCCTGGAATGGCTTCTGCAGAGATGGACCTATGCCGGGGACAGCACTGGAGGCAGGGACAATACCCCAAGGAAAAAGGTACATTTGGGAAGAAAAGAAGGAAAAATGTTAAGGAAAAATCCACTTACCGCCTGGATTCAAAAAGCAGGGATTGGTAGAAAGAAAAAACAAGTAGAACTATCAGCAGAGCTGGTGAAGTCTTGAGAACTCTTTTTATGGATAAAAATTCATCCTGTAACAACCCCATAAAGGAGAAAAGTCTCTCCCACCAACACGTCTGGGAGAGAGTAGGCGCTCAGCTCCTTGCTTCTAGCAGAAGAGCTCATCCTCAGAGTGAGGCCAGCTCGGCGGAGGCTGCTCACTGGTGTGGCACAAAGAATAAAATGAATGACTTCTGAGAAGTCCCACATTTATCACCACCAGTTCCTGTAAGAACTGGTTTGAACCGATTAATAAGGAAATGACTTATGCTTGTGTCATCCCCAGTTGAAAAAGAAACTGCCCGCCCTCTCTCTGACTTGTCCCATCTTCTCCGAGGGGGCGGTACTTTCTCAATCTAAGTCCTTATTAGGACAATCTGTGCGTCATCCCTTCCCAAAAAGAATGCATTAGCAAATTTGGGAGGCACCTCCCACTAGTCAGAAGTCAGTGATTAACAAAGGAACAAAGAAGGAACTATGAACCTTGAATCACTTCATGGTTTATGGGAGCTGGTTTGCACAGAAACTGCGGTACATTACTAAACAACTTGTTCTCAGATGATTGGGATAGTGATCGCTGATAAGCTTATGTACTCGGAGCTCCCTCTCACCCAGAACAAGGGGAGGCAGTGCAGTTAAACCGGTTTGGTGACTGTAACTACCGGACTCCCGTTTCAGAAATGCTTGCAGGCGGTTTTTAAAATGGTAACTTGGGGCAACTTAGAAAACCAAACATCTCTATTTTTCTGTCCCCTTATTTTCCCATCAGCCTAATAGGGCCAAAAGGTAAACGCACCCAATCTCTTTCCCGGGCCAGCAAAAGGTATTTCAACATGTGGCCAATGCTCTCCCTTTTCAGCAACTATTAGATTAACTTCACCTAATTTCTAGAACAATTCAGTTGCTGCTTTCTGTAATAAAAAGCAGAGGACTAAAGGAAGAGAAATTTTTTGCTATTTACCGGAAGCTAACAAATATATAACTCCTGGCTGACACTTTTCTTTATTCCTTTTAATTATAAACCACCAAACACTTAATGAAGTCCTTATTTTGTGTCCAACACTGTAACTGGTGCTATGGGGGGTGGGGAGAGTAGTCCATGCCCACAAGAGACTTAGAATCATTATGGGGATTCAACACACACACACACACTGATTTGGGAACAAAATAATTTAAAATCAATACTTAATTTTTGGGAGTACAGAGACATATTCCAAAGGAACTGAAGGAGAGCGATTGGTGGGGTGAAGCTGTCCTTTACGAATAGTGAAGCTGCGTTAAAAAAACCCTGAAAGGACATATGCAGTAGAGGCTCCGGCTGCACTGATTAGACCAGGAGACCCACACTGAGATGGAGAAGGGCAAGTCTCCTAACCTACAGTCCCAGTCTCTCTCTCACTGACTTTTTTAAAAACTGAATTTATTGGGGTGACACTGGTTATTAAAATTACATAGGTTTAAGGGATACGATTCTATACTACAGCATCTGTATATTGCATCATGTGTCCACTGTCATTGAGTTTCAAGTGGCCTTGCACTAGTGGGATAAACCAGAAGAGCTGAGTCTGAGCTGTTTCTGTTTATTACTGCTGATTCTGACAAGAAGGGGCAACAATAGTACTCAAATTTTCTCTTTAAAAAGAGAGATTTTCCTTGGGTAGTTCTTTATATAATGCAAAGGGAATGCAAATACCTCACCATTTACACTTGAAACAAACCACATGAATACAAAAGAGAACAATTCTAGTGAAGTATACAGACTGGCTTTGAAGACTGCAGATTTATAAGACATTTCCTTCAGAAATTGGTTCATTCACACTTAATACCTATGTCATTTCCCAAGTCAAGCCATTATTTAATTTTTTAAAATGTGAAAAAAACTTTCATTTAGAAAGGCTGAAATGATTGTATGCTAATTTAAACAGCTAGGGTGTATAAGAAATGGCTTGAAAATTCCCTTTTTGATGTCCTCCAGGTGCTGGATTCCATTACATGTGTCTTTTTTACAAAATTATTTTTAATATACCTTTATTGATCTTAGAGAGAGAGAAGGGAGAGGGACAGAGAGATAGAAACATCAGTTGCCTCCTAAACCCTCCCCCCTCCCCCCCACTGGGCATGTGCCCTGACCAGGAATCGAACCTATGACCTCTTGGTTCACAGGTCGACACTCAACCACTGAGCCACATCAGCTGGGCCATTACATGTGCCTTGGTCTTTCTCCAGACCTCTACCTTCTGAATGGAAGTGAGCACAAATATGGTTTACAATTTGCCTCAAATCATACTTGGGATCCAGGGTCAAGTAATTATTTACAGAGAAAATTAAGAACCAAATGCGAGGAATGGTCTAATTTTTTGTTTTTGTTGCTGAGAAAAATGCGGGCGTGCCTGGCAATCATTCAAAAGAATTTGGAAAGATAAATAATTTGCCATTGGAAATCCACTTTACCTGATGGAGAATATATGTCTTTATATATTTACATGATAGGCAACTTTCCAAGAATTATCTTGGGCAAAAAAAAAAAAAAATTATCTTGGGCTGATGCTGAGATTAATTTTTCAAGTTGCTATGGTATTACTATGCTTTGGAGAGTTCTTGGTGGTGGGGTAGGAGCTGCAGTTTCTCATAAGAGACTCGGAAAATAGCTGAAAATAGAGAAATTAAAAGTTTTCATAGCAACATATTAATCACCATTATGAACAGATGCCACATGATCTGAATAAACCTTAAAAAAGTTAACATATTTTGGTTTTAAGTGTTATATAACCAATTATCAGATTCCTCTTAATCCACTTTATATATCAATCAAAATTTTAGTTTTATTTTCATTTCTCTATCTCTACAAACCACGGCGTAGAGCAGATGCCTCAGCTTATACAAGGCACTCTTATACTAGGGTTTTCTTAATCAACACTACATTTAGTAATGGACTAGATAAAAATTGAAACCACAGCTGTCACTATTAACATGCATTTAAGACAAATAATAATGCCAGCCTACAGCTTCATCTTTCCAGTTATAGTCAAGCAGCAGACAAAAGTGAGAGTCCATTCTGACATTTAAGGTTAAAGGTTAATTTAAGGCATATATGGGAGTGGGGCGGCAGCTGGAGGAGTAACCTGCAGTACAGTTGGGTGTTTTTTGTAGTTGGCTTAGGAAATAGCTTAAATGCCACTCTCTGAAAGCCGTTCAACTCAGAGACCCTGTGCACTTGGCCGGGAACTCTCATCTCAGCCCACAGGGAGTGGGGAAGTCCTTTGTGTGCTGAGTAAATGCAAAGTTCTTACAGTTTTGTGATACAGAAGAATATATTAATAGAAGGAGAACCAACACACAGACCTATTTTACAGTCAACTGTTGGACTAAAATATGCTTCACTTAGCCTTGTAAATAGCCACTTTCTCTCAGTGAGGAAGCTGTAAATAAAGTAAAGAAAAAAAGAAAGAAAGAAAAGAAACAGAAATTGATCTCATCTGCTTATCCTTGCTGTAAACCTTCAACATGGTGGGTAGAAAAAGCCTTGTGATAGTAATATCTTGAAAATTTATATTCCTGGCACACACATTTTTCAGATAATATAACTCATGAAAAAATAAATTTCCAACAAATTAATCTGATGGCAATTTTTGAACTTTTGTTATGGATTTTAATAAAGGAAAGTAAACAAACAAAAAACCCTAAGAAAATGCAAACAAAAGTCCAGGAAAAAAGTAAAGGAAAAAACCCACAGAAGTCCAAACCCAGCCAGAGCTCAGAGTGGTTTCATGGGAACAGTATTTGCTGTGCTTTTACATACCTAAGGATGTGTTAAAACAGAAACAAGACAAACTTTTCACAAAATTCTGTCAAGGGCCCTGACTGAATATGCAAACAAAAGCTATTATATTTAAATAGTTTTTAATACATATGTGACTCTGCTTCTGGAAATCACTTATCCGATAAGAAATCTGCATTTTTTAAAATACATATTTTTTTGATCTCAGAGAGGGAGAGAGATAGAAACATCAATGATGAGAGAGAATCAATGATCAGCTACCTCCTGCATGCCCCACACTGGGGACCAAGCCCAAAATCTGGCATGTGCCCTGCCTGGGAATTGAACCATGACCTCCTGGTTCATAGGTCGATGCTCAACCACTGAGCCACACCAGCTGGACAGAAATCTGTATTTTTAATTCTCCTCATATTGGTCCATTAGGAAGGTCTGCATTATTCTCTGTACCCACAAAACTCAGAAAACCTTCCAGATGAAGATCACAATCGGCAGAGGCTGCATGGAGAGTGGGTGGTGTGATTACTCTAGTTCAGTGATGGCGAACGTTTTGAGCTCGGCGTGTCAGCATTTTGAAAAACCCTAAATTAACTCTGGTGCTGTGTCACATATAGAAATTTTTTGATATTTGCAACCATAGTAAAACAAAGATTTATATTTTTGATATTTATTTTATATATTTAAATGCCATTTAACAAAGAAGAATCAACGAAAAAAATGAGTTCACGTGTCACCTCTGACACGCGTGTCATAGGTTCGCCATCACTGCTCTAGTTTTTCAACAAAGCTTACATTTTCATTTGTTGGTTAGTCCTAAGCACACACCCATTCCAAAAATTCATGATTCCTCCTATTTTCAAGGGACTCCTTTCAAATTGTGTAACTTTCAAACTAGGTTCACCAAATACTAGTATACTAGTAAGCAACACACCATGTGATTTACTTTGAATCTCTTTTTCATCGTACAGATAGTCATCAAATTGGGACTTGCTATTGGAAGACCGGAAATTTTCCTGTCCCTGATTCTGATTCTGTTTGGATTTTTCCAGCCAGGTGTGTATTTTGTTACTA